CTTCTTCATCTTGATCACCGTACTTGTCTTTCATCTTCTTGAGCTTAGCCTACAAATACACAAGCATGTACAAAGTTTACTGCTGTTTTGTTCAAGAGAGAAATCCACTAAATTAACCACATGTAAAATTACAATATAACTGACTTCTTCACACACACAAAATTGTCAATTTAAATCACAGAGAATTTGCTTTAAATATTACAGAAGTGAAATTCGTTGTTACTGTACAACCAGTTTTCCATAGAATGGTAGTCACAAGGCTTGTTTCTTGCACCTAAAACTGTGTTCAATTCTCTCTTGTCATCACGTTTATACTGTTCTATGAATCTATGTAGCCATGGTATTTAGAACAGAGTACTCAATGATGGAAGATCTGAGGGGCAAACATACATATTGTGGCTCTCTCACACTCAATAAATGGCCAATTGTGACTAAGGTCCAAAACATCACACAATGATCACAGTAATGATTGTACCATGAATCATGAACAATAAAATGTCACATTAGATGTTTTAACAAGTGAAACATCTCTGACTGTCAGTCAGAGTAATCATCGATTCTTGAAAAGATTTTTTAAAATGCTTATCCCATACTTTCTGTCCTCGTTTAAGCAGCTGCTCTGAGGGTTGCTGTTCCTTTTGCTTTCTACGTTTTCTTTCATCCATTTCTTCATTTTCTTTCTCACTTGGAGGAAGCTGCTGTCTCTTCTGTTTCCTAGACAATGCTTTCTCCTCAGCATTTTTAGCTGTCTCCTCTTTTTCTTCTATATTTTCACCCAACTGTTGCTTTTTCTGCTGTTTTTTAAGTTCTCTGAAATTAAAAAAAAAAAAAAAATTGTTGTTTGTAGCACTACAGAATTTTCAGATTACTATATCTAGCATCAGATTTACATCTTATAAGTTAATTTGAGTTTAACATTTTGTACTAGTTACACTAGCAGCCTGTCAGCTGAGATAGCTCCGCTGTTATCAATGCACATTTCAATTAAAGAACTTAAGATATCATCAGAAAATGAACAATATGTATAGTATTAAAGCAATCGGACTTGCTGTTTTCAACAAGAATTCGAAAAAATATCAAAAATATTCATTAAAATTAGATAATTGAAGAACAAAATCATCACAAAATGAACAAATCTGAGAGAGGTCTACCTGTAGTACCTATATAGTATATAATATCAAAGCAATTAGACTTGCGGTTTTTAACAAGAATTCGAAAATATCACTTTTTACCAAAAATGGAGGTATGTAAATCTGTCGAAATGGACATAGTGCGAGTGGTTAGTGCTAGTAGCACTAATCCGAAAAACTACTAGATCTAGTGCTAAAATGGCACTAGATCTAGTGCTAAAATGGCACTAGATCT